AGGCTTGCAAATGCAGAAAGGAGGAACGAAGAGCTGGAGGCCGAGAGGGCAGAGCTTGCACAAAAGGTCCAACACCTGCACAGTGAGGTGAAAAAACTCGTTGCACAGAAGACAGTACTCGTGGAAAAGCTTGAAACATCCACGAAAAAGATTCGGGAGCTGGAGCTAGAGAGAGTAGCCCTCATCAAAGATTTCAACGAAAGAATCAGTGAAATGAAACTCCGACTGAAAAATGAAGTTGCGGCGCGTGCAACGCGAGTGTATTCTCTGGCGGAGCTGAAGGAGGCTACAAACGACTTCAACATGACTCTGGGAAGTGGTGATGCAGATTACAACGAGTCTGTTTACTCTGGAAAACTCCACGATGGTACGCCTATTATGGTGAAGAAGGTGAGGGTTACAAGCACATGTCGAGGAACTGATCATGTGGACTTCAAGGACAAGGTGGTGGACAGGTTGAGAATGTTGCAGCATCCCAATTTGTTGAGGCTGTTGGGAGTTTGTTATGAAGAGAATTGTTTGGTGTACGAGGACGTGGCAAACGGAAGTCTGAAGCAGTGGATTTCAGGTGGGGACAATCACAGGAGAGGATTTCTCCCATGGTACGTGCGCCTTCGTGCGATGGCAGAAGTCGCTCGGGCAGTATCCTTCCTCCATGATAGTGACTCTGACCAGCTGGACAGTGGTGGTCCCATCATCCACGGCGCCATCAAACCAGCAAACATACTTCTCGATCACAACTTTGTGGCCAAGATTTGTGGTGTTGATCGSGCTCTCCTTGTGTCCCARCAGCCCTGCGGAGGGCAGGCCTCCGAAGGTTCTTTTCGCGCTTTCCTTGGAAGCAACTCTGAATACATGGCACCCGAATATTTGCGGTCTAGGGTTTGCAGCGAGAAGACAGACATCTACGCGCTGGGTGTGACTCTTTTGGAAGTTCTMACTGGGAAATTCTGGAATGCAGYGGGAATCATCGAAGATGCGATGGGAGGAGGTGGTGCAGCRYTTGAAAATGCTCTTGATCCCAATGCAGGCTGTTGGGATGTCGGTCTGGCTCGGGAGGTGGCAGGCTTGGGGCTGCGCTGCACGAGCCTGGACAAGCGGAATCGACCGGACATGATGACAGCCGATGTTGGTATCGTAGTTACATTGGACAGAATTGCGGGAAAAGTGGAGCTCGCTGCAGCAGCTGAAGGTGGATAAAGAAATCAATGGGGCCACGCAGACAGCGGGGCAGGCTCTCCTTATGCAAAGTCAGCAGGCAGGCAAAATGGTCATCCAGTCTTGCTTCAGGGAGACCCTTCTCAGGTGCTGTTCTGTTCTCTGTGTGCACCGTGACTTCAAGGYTCTGGTGGGGGAATGATTCGTCGGCAGGATGGCCAACTTCCCATACACAATTTTGAAGGCTCTGATATGATGTCTTGTGGTCTTTGAGAGGCTGCAGTGAAGGTACTACATCCTCAGGGTCTGGTTAGGGTTTGCACAAAGATTCGGTCTGAGACCGTCCAGTATGATGAGACSAGGTGTGATGAAATTTCTGGAGGAGGCCGATGACTTTCTAAAAGAAATGTGGCGCTGCAGTTTGTTCCTGAGCATCAGCATTTGCCACTGCAGTTTGTTCCTTTTTTTTTCCTTTTTTTTTAATTTGGACCATTTTTCGATTTATGGGTGTCATCCTTGCGCATGGGCCATGGTAATCTTCTTTCTCTGCATTGTTCCAATTTTAACGGGTGACCGGAAGGACACACTACAGTTTGTTTCTGAGCATCAGCAGTTGGTATCTTTTTTTTTTTTTTTTTTTTTCAATAACGGGCATGTGCCGGTTCTGTTCTGGGGGGCTGCAGTGCGGTTGCTTATCTCCAGCGAGCGGAGAACAGAACGAAGAGCAGAGAGCAGTTGGTATCTTTCCAGCTACTAGGCATTTAGAAATATTTTCTAGCTTTTATGCAGGTTGTTTTTCTGTTTTTCAAGGAGAGGGTACTAGATGGGGGRCATGGAAAGAGGTGCATTTTCATGTTTGTATTTGTGACAAGCGCATTACCTATGCATACAGTTTATCTCTGCAGCTGAGGGCATATTTAGGGCGCAGGGATGATGTTGTCTGATGGCTACTGCACCCAGCCTTCCGGAARAAGGCGATGGGAAACGCATCATGATGGTCTCCTGTCCCAGCAATCCAAAACTGATGAGGAGACGGCATCATTCTGCCGGGCTTGCTGCTACCAGCTGGAGAGCTGACAGTGTGTGAATCTGCCCCCAGTTGTGTGATAGAGAGGTTGGCACCAGCACCGACATTGGGATCATCATGATCATGTTGATTTCTGCAATTCCGTTCGGAGAGGGTATTATGATTTATCCCACGTGGCTGCAGCAGTGGTGTGCTGATTAATGTGCAGTGACCGATTCTTTTTGAATCTGGTTTACATGTCCGAACTCAGTTGGAATATCTAAAATTGGCGACACCATCATGCCCGGGGCTATGAAATTCTTCTCCTTGAAGAGGAGGTTGCTGGGCAGCCACGAGAGTCAGTCTGAGATCGAGAGAAGGTCGTCCGCTAGAGGACCCCTACCCTGTGAACAGAATTGAGGCGAAAGGAAGTCAAATGGGAAGAAGATTGAGATCCAGGACAAGCCACAGATTCTGAAGCCTCAGGCTGGAGGATTTTTTTTTCTGTCAGTGGATGGAATTCAAAGCCCTGTCAGGTTTTCTTTCGGCCTTTGCAGATACTGTCCAAGTTTTATGAGAACCAGTATTATCACTCTCCAATCATTTCAAATTGTGACCTCTACATTTCCCTCTCTTTTTCGTTTCTTTTTTGGTGAGAATCATTCATATTGTTTTGTATGCAGGAACTGCTGAGAGTCTTCAAGGCAGCTTGCACAGCTGCTGCAGACTGGGGGGATTTTGATTCTCTTCAGCTCATCGCACTATACGGCCTTCCCTTGCCACGCTTCCCCTAATATTCCTCCGGAGATAAACTGCTAGGCAAATGGTTGATATCCAGGAATCCCATCCCATCTTGCGAGGGTTAAAAAATTGTGAGATACAATAAGAGACAACCTACCATGATTGCCTCTGATGGGCCCAGTTCTTTTGCCTGCCTATGACCAGGACGCCGCATCTTACAGCTATCTCCCCCCCACTCCCCCTTTTAACCCACAATGTCATGCAAACCCATGTATTCCGGGGGTTACAGCACCGTTGCTTATCCCAGGCAAGCATTGTACTAGACAAGAATGGGGGCGTTTTGGCGTGTGCTTCAGCATTCAGCATTGAACCCAGGCTGCGACAACGACAGCAGACTCGGGCATGATGATAATTATTGTAATAATTCTGAAGTCCACGTGAGAAATCAAATCATACAGTGGTGAAATGTTGGTTCGACGAGGGACTGACTTGGTCAGCAGCTGAGAAGGAAGTGGTAACTTGGATGCGACTGCTGACAGTGACTGTCACAGTAACTGACCGCTGTCTGGCTAGTGGTTGCACAACGATGCTGCTGCTTCTTTCGTTTTTGTTCTTTTCGGAACCGAACTCGAAGTAATAGCCGTATGGGCCTTTATGGCTCTGGCTCCTTTCCATTCTGGAGAGAATCAGAACGTTTCCTGTTTTCCTGCTTTTGTTTCTCGTGGTACGACCTGATGTTTATATGGTGGTACTACTGAGGTTTATTTGTTTCCTTCCTACTAGACAGACTGTGAGTAATGTGACAACGAACACGTGATCTTG